CACCCTAACACCCTAACACCCTAACACCCTAACACCCTAACACCCTAACACCCTAACACCCTAACACCCTAACACCAATACTCAGTAATCTGGCACCTACTTCTAGAATATACGTAGGTTTAAATTACATTCTGTTATGTTTGCCCGTTCAATAATTTTCTAGGAAAGGTAATTATTCGAAACAAATACCAATACTCATCTATTACTACTTATATTAGTATTCTCATACTATATTTTATATTCTAAGAATTTACGTTGTTTTTAACGTACTTTTCCAACTATGAGGTGCGCTCAAATATTTTTGACTACTAAGTTCGAAAATGAGAATTCAAACCGCTACGAAAATAAAACCCTGACACCCTAACATGGAAATTACATCAAAGAATGCGCCAACAAAGTAAGCAACTGCCTTAAACCATTAGAACAGCTTATCTAAATACATAAGCTAACTTGTATTTCTGAGTTAATACATATAGACATACCGTAATTTAGTATTAGCTCACGTGAAAATAATTGTGATGTCAGGATATAATTGGGTAACAGATAGCAGTTTCGGGACCAATTATATTTTTTCAGACTTGCCAAACCAGACTGAAATTTTCAAATATTTCCACTCCTATTTTTAGAAGAAGAAATTCTTTAGTAATAAAGAATCAACAAAGCAGAAGAAGAGATTCATTAAGAGGTTTCATATCAAGACTCCTTTCATAGAAAATTATTGGTATAGCTTAGTAATACATCTATCCTTCCTTAAATGAAAGGATTAGCGTAAAAATTACGTAGTTGACTTTTCAAGAGCTCATATATAGAAGTTAAGATAAATCAGGTACTCATGGGACCAACATGATAAAAGCTATTCTACATATTCCGTGTATCTCATGGTATAATTGGTTTCTCTTTACTTGAGAGGTCTAAAATGCACCTGCAATTATAGGAATGAAATTCGCGATTGCATGCCATTTTCAAAATAGGACTGAGCGTGACTTTTCTGAAGCGCACTCCGAAATATTTTGTGAACATCAAAATAATCAAGACCAACGAAAAATTTCCCGAGAAACTTCTTCCAGCATAGAAACATTTCAGGTTATTGTTCATTTTACTCGTTGTGCATAAGTGAAGCTCTTCAATCTTAGAGCTGAGATTGTTTTTCCACAGAAATTTATTTTCTTCAATCAATTCATTCCTCTTAGGATAAGCAATTTTAAACTATTTTTTACTTCTAACAGTGTCTGATATATTGTGTGTTATTCTTGGAATGCTACTAAATCATCTACTGTCTAATGAAACATTACTTGCCAAGTCTCTAGGATCTGCGCCTTTGAACGTTATTTTCTGATACAGACGGAACTATCCGAGGGATCTCGAAAATAACTACATATGCGAGATCCTTGCCCCAGCCACTCATCTGACCTAAGCATTTGGCCGTTCTTAAAGCAATTCGATCTAAATTATTTCTCACTTTTATTTTACTTTTGTTTTGAAAGCCACACCGTATAGCTATTCTTAAGCATTTCTTTATTTACGTACAAGCTTCTCTACTACAAGTAGTTACCGTCAAGTTTTGAAGATTCATCTCGTAATTATAGTTAGACAAGGGGCTTTTAATTAAAATTCACACATTTTATCCGATTATGTGGATACATTTAAATTAGTGGATAAGTAGCATTTTTTAATTATCCAACATAAGAAAATATTTTCTACCACAATTATTTTTGCACCGGATAGCATTACTCCTTCAACTAAGCCACCCAAGAGAACTCTCATACGTTTCTAGAGTTCAATATGCGCCTTTTATTACAAGACCCATAAACCCCTTAATTTGAGCTCCAGATATGATCCTGCTATTTCCTATGGTCTTATCGCACATGATGCACGAACATGCAAACTTAATCCAAATAATTGTGGTTAAAAATTGAATCCTGCAACTGAAACATTCGGGTTTGTCTAAATAGCTAAAATGAACATCCATGCAGATCAGATATGAATAAGTCAACACCTTTAGAATATTTTTTCCTTCTTCTTTAGGTACTAACACATCTTGAATTTTCCAGAACAGGTTATGCAACGCTCAATTTGTCAAGAATAGCCTTCCGAGCTCAGATCCTCCTGATGCAGAGCGCACGTGACAAGCTCACACATTTCAGTATCTATTTATTCAACGCTACTTCGTCTTGTGTTTCAGTTTGAAAGAAAGTCAACTAGTTCTATACTAGTATTCTTTGACATTCCTTACTATTGCCGGCATCTAAGATAAGCTTCAAGTTCAATAATAGCTGTTGAGTTATTTTCTTTATTATCAAAAAACGCTGTTAGAAAATAGATGGGAATTATTTTGATATTTTGCATTTCAGTGTGTACGTCAAGAAAAATAATGCAATGCAATATGTATAATCCAATGAAAGTGTTCAATTGCGTCAATAAAAGAAAAATACAACAAGAAGCTTAAGTTTATGCAGAATAGTTCTGCAATCTAGTTACTCAATTTCCTAACGATAAATAATAATCGGAGAATTTTTTACACCTACTGTTTTATTGGATTCAAACGGATCAATTCGAATGAACTGAATATATTGTACAACAAGAAATGCTAAGAAAAATGTACCAGAGTCGTATCAGCCGAATTTACAGTTGAGCTTAATTTTACTTTCCCGGTGACAAGTTATATGAGTTACTTTGGTCCTTTTCCCGTAAGTTCCAACTAAACAATGTTTTGCATATATGTGAAATGTCACCTGATGGATATTGCAACCGCATTACATGCATATTAGATGTGCATCAATTTAACACATACCTTTTTCAAAAACCGGGCAGGTTGCATGTTCTAGAGAAAGCCTCTGGTTACAAGCCAGAATGGACATAGACCTACGAACCCTCACGAAAGCGTATAAGCAATAACTTCGAAAATGGTAAAAAATAAAGCTAAGCAAGTTTGGGGGAAGCTAAGGAATTATATATATTCCAAGCTTCGTACTATTTACACTTCTCCACTTTGAATTGGCACCTAGTGAAAAAAAAATTGCAAAGACATATACGAAATGAGGTTTTCAATTCACCAATTGGCATTGGTGATATTTTCCTTCATTTATGTAGCCAGTCTGGCTAATATCCCTGGCTGTTCACCAGAAGCAGAACAATTGATCCCTGGGTTCAAGGTTGATTTCTACCACTATACCATCCTTGATGCTACTACAATGTTAGAATTGAGTTATGTAGCGGGTGGATATAAGGCAGGTGGGATAATTGGAACTGCAACTGGGGTCACAGACATTAACTTCTACTACTTCGATTATGTATCATACTGGCCAACAGTTGGATACTACACCCTTTACGGTGTATATATTAGTTTTACCAATTTTACCGCCGAGTATACCGGTTACTTCTATGCAGATACAACAGGATCGTACACCTTTAACTTAGCAAATGTTGATGATTCTGGGGCAGTCTTCTTGGGAGATGAAGCTGCTTTTAATTGTTGTAATACAACCGCAATAAATCTGCCCACCGAATTCCTTATTTTTACTTCAAAGGCTTGGAATGGTGCTGCGGCATCCACTAGTGTGACAGTCGAATTAGCAGCTGGTACATATTATCCGCTTAGAATCGTTTATACCAACGAATTAGAAGTCATGGCTTTAACTTTTGAAATTATCAAGCCCGATGGAACCACGGTAACAGATTTCACAAATGTTTATTCAATTGCTGATGCTGATTATTGTCCTGCAGCAGCAATAGAATCAACTCTCTTATCATTGCCTACATCAAGTGGTTTCGGTGGTACTACATATGGTGATGTCTCACTGACTGTGACACAACTTGTGACCAATACAGCAGGTGGTTACGTTGTTACTGAAGTAGTGATTCCATATGTTACCGTAGTTGAGGTAGAAAACACAGGAGGCACAGAAATGAGTACAACAACTTTACCAGCAACTGGTCAAACTCAAACAGTGATCGTCTATACTACACCAGAAATAGTTACCGTTACATCCACATGGACGGGAAGTAGCACGTCAACGTCAGTTGGTACATATGTAACGGGAGAGATTTTGACCGTGGTAATCGAAGTTCCAGCCTCAACAGTAAATACAACGTCCACTTGGACTGGATCGGATACTGAAACTTATACGACTACTGAAGATGGAACGGTCATCGTCGTCATTGAAGTGCCAACTCCAACGGTAACCACAACTTCAACTTGGACTGGATCCAACACCGAGACCTATACAATAACGGCGTCCGATGGAGGAACCGATACTGTAGTAATTGAAGTGCCCAAGCCAACGGTAGCTACGACCTCAACATGGACCGGCTCTGATACGGAAACGTATACCATTACTGCATCTGAT